ACAGACAACCTCTCGTCAATATGCGTTTTTTGCATTGCATTGCTGCAAAAAACGCATAAAAAACGACCGGACCTCATGCAAAAAATTGATAATCATGTATTCTAGAGGTGTATGCCATCTATAATGCAACACCTTCATCCTAGCTGACGCCCTTTCCTCGTGTATGCGGGAAAATGAAAAGCACAGCCAATGTGAGCCTAAGTGTTAAATTCCAACGCAGGAACCATTTCCGCTGTTAGCTATTTGCAAGCTTAGCGAAAAAACGCATGATCGCACTGGCAAGCCTGGTGTGTTGCAATTTGTTAATTTTATTTATGCACAAAATTTGTTTTCAGGAGATACTTTTGGAAACCACTGTTTAATGAATTGCGAAGTGATGCTGTCTATCATCTCATGTGTGTTCCTAATTTACTTTACCACATCAACAACATTCGCACTGCAAGCGACGACCGTAAGAACACCCGGCGTAGTGCTGAAATTTAATGGAATCGGGAACAACAGCAACAGCTCGGGAAAATTCATCCGCATTCATTTCGGTTTTCCAATTTTCGATAAAGGAAGCAACGACGGCATCACTTATGACGTCAACGAGAACAATAACGGCTCAAGAAAATTTATCCGAATCCACTTTGGAATGCCATTTTCGGGTAACAACGACAGCGGTAGCAGCAGCATCGGGAAACCCTCACTCTCTCCCATTTTTTCGTCAACTCCCAGCTCTGTCAGTGGCAGTATCACCACCACTATAAGTCCCGCCCTACGCTTCCGCCCCTCAAATTCCAGCATTACTAACAGCAGCAATATTGAACAAAAGCCCGTCCTCTATTATCGGGGCCTGCCATTTTACAGCTACAACAATCTTCGCAACAAAACATATAATAGAAGGGTTTTATTCTAAGAGTTTTTGTTGAATTAGGCACAGAAAGCGCGTAATGAGTTAAACATTTTGCAAAGTAACACTCGGCATAGCGCGGGAAAGAGGAAAAGCCAAGGATTGAGTAGGGTGTTTAAGAATTCCGTGGGACAGTCATGCTTCTGAGTAGGTTTCAGCTCACCAAAGTGCAAAGGAAATTTATCGTTTTGAAAGTGCAAATGAAACTTATCGCTTCGAAATGTTAGGTAGCGTTGGATAAGTGAGAAATGATACAAGTAAAGCTCTGTATCGGGTGTTTAATTAAACACGGAATGGAAGGTGAGCGAGCAATTTCTGCAAAATTTAAGGTTTTTTTTTTTAAAAAAAAAGCTAAAACTGTGCCATAAGAATTATTGAAAAGACACTAATAGTGAACGCAAAAGTTGAAAAATGCAAAAAAGTTTTTTTTTTAATTTTTCTTTCTGCCGATTCATGAGTAAGCAATAATCATTGGCACGCGCACCGGGCAGATCCGTGCGATCATGCGTTTTTGCAATATCTCGTGCTGCTGTAAGATCGCTTGGAATCACAACAGCTAGAATTTATGAAATACTGGTCCTCGAACTTCAGGAATTTAATCGTGCAACTACCACGTGTACTCGGATAGAGGATATTCTGTTGAGATTTTAGCTTTCTAGATTTCTGTTTCCTGAGTTAGCAAATTTTCCCGCCGGAAAATTTTACGGGGTTGTATGTGGGAAACACGCATACCTGGGCGCTGAATATAAATGCTTTGAGTTGTACATGGGCTGGAAACATCGGCTTAAAAGTTCGGGCTTCCAGCTTCCCTGGTTTCCGATTTAGTGAATTTTCCTGCTAGAAATTTTGAGAACCAGGCACAACTGGGGGCTGAATTTGAGTTTTTTTTTAAGTTGCGGATGGGCTGGGAACATCCCTTTAAAATTTCAGTGTCCCAGCTTTTCTGGTTTCTAGGTTGGCCATTTTCCCGCCAAAATTTTCACGCAGTCATACATGGGGAGCGGACGTGCATGAGGGTTGGTGCCACAGCTCTGAGGTGGCACTTAGCCGGGGAAGCACGCGTGATTTTCGAGTAGAAATACCCGGACAGACGCACACACACACACACCAAGGGTCGTCGCTACAGCACGGCACAGCTAAAACGCATAAAAACGAAATTTTCCAAGACACCAAGTCAAGAAATGCTCGGTGTCAAATCCTATTTGGAATGTTGGAAACGTGAGCGGTGTGAGGCAGATTATACTACTGCCAATCTGATCAGAAATATTGGTGCAAAAATACGCATTCTGTGAAATCAGCCTTCCTGTGTCTGGCTGCGCATGATGGTTTTCTTGTTATGCTTCACCATATTGCTAATGATTACTTGTTCACTTGTGTCCTTTTTCACTGTCACTTATTTATAGCTTTGGGATTAAAAATGCACTGCAGTACGTAAAGTGTATGCACAAAGTTCGCCTTTCATCGAAGTAAACTGATTAAAAAAGATCACTCGCCAAAGTTTTGGGACGGTTTTGCATTTTGCATTGTCATTGTGAATTCCTACGCAAAGAAAAATAATTGGCCAACGCACGGGCTGCGCGTGCGAAGATGCGTATTTTGCATACCTCTCCGCAGATTTTTGTCAGCGGCACAGGTTTTTCTGTCAGATGCTTCTAGCTAAAAGAATTTCAGACTGACCGCCAGGACTGCCAGGAAAAACCCCTACAAAATCCCAGTCTTCTAGCTTCTCACTTTCCCGAGTTAGCAACTTAACCGGAAAAAACTTCCAAGGGCCCATACTTAGGTACCACGCTTACCTGCGGGCAGGGTTTGAACTCGTTAATGCCTACTTGGACGAGAAGCACTACCCTAAAATTTCAGCGTTCTAGCTTCTCAGATCCCCGGGTTATGAACATACTCCAAAAAATTTTGGCCGGCCCGTGCGCGAGTACCACAGGGGTGTTGTCACCTACTTTGGGGATTGGGGCCGGCACGTGCACGTAGATTAAGTTCCCGAAGTTCCAGCCTCGCAGCTTTTTTAGGTCTTGAGATGAAAGTGCGTGACAGACGCACACACAGACACACAGACACACGGACACACAGATAACCCCTCGTCAATATGCGTTTTCTGAATTGCATAGTTGCAAAAAACGCATAATATGCGTTCTGTGAAATCAGCCTTCCTGTGTCTGGCATATAGAAAAATCCAGGTTGGAATTTTCTATATGCAGATTGGAATTTTCTATAAAAAAAATCCCTGCTCTGCAGCCACACACTTGGGGTCATATTAGCTGTGCTTTGGATTCTTCCGGCTTGCAGCAGAATGGGCATCGGTTGGGTTGAGGGTGTTGCATTACAGAACCGCATGGACTCCCAAGTACATGATTACCAGTTTCTTGCATGAAGCTCAGTCGTTTTTTCGATAAATCTCGCTTTTTGAAAAAATGAAAAATGCAAATTCTTTGAAAAAATGCAAACCAGGAGAGCCGGTGCGATCATGCGTTTTTGCACCAAACTTGAATTAGATTAACTGCATGACCAACTGTTTTTTCACACCTACCTCGTGCCCTCAATACCGTAAATCATCGTAAATTTTGCATAAAAGGAAATAAGCAATTTCTGTTTAGCAGTCGTTTTTTGAAAATGACTCGGCCGTTCAAAGAGCAATTTTCCCGCCAAAAATTTTTTACACGAAAACCACAAGTAAATGGAGGCTGAATTCGAAATTTTTAAGTTGCATTTGGACGGGAATACTCTTCTGAAATCCCAGCTTTCCAGCATTTCTGGTCCCCCAGTTAGCCATTTTCCCGCCAAAAAAGTTTTATAGGGCCGTACATGAGAACTGCGTGTGCCTGCGGGGCTGAATTCAATAAGTCGCACGTCGGTTGGGAACAATCCCTGAAAATTTCAGCTTTTCGGCTTTGCTAGTTCTCGAGCCAGCCGTTTTCTCGCCAAAAAATTTCACGGGCGCATATGCGGGAACTAAGTAAACCTGGAGGCTGAATTTGAAATCTTTGAGTTATTTGTGGACGGAGAAATAATATCAAAATTTCAGCTTTCCATCTTTTCTCGTTTCCAAGTTATAAACTTTCCCGCCAAAAAATCCCCCCCCCCCCCCGTACGCGGGACACAGATTTGTTTGAGAGTTGGTACCACGGTTCTGGGGTGGTACTTGGCCGGAGAACCTACTGGCGAAATTTTGGCGATGGAAATTGCTTGGTTGCCGAGTTGAAATACCCGGACAGGCAAACACACACACAAACATGCACGCACACACATACACAGAGATATGGTTCCGCAATATGCGTTTTTGCTGCGCAGCGCTGTAGCGCTGCTACAGCCAGCAAAAATGCATATTGTTGAGAGGTTGTGTGTATGTTTTCGGAAAGCGAGTGCATTTTGTCACCCACTTTCATCTCAGCAACCAGGAAAGCTGGGAGGCTGAA